GCCACTTTCAGGTCTCCTTACACTGTTGGTGGGTTCCATTTGAGGATAGGTGGCTGTATGGCCTTCCATTGCTGCTGCCTCCACCGCCACCCCTGCGCCATGTTGCCTCTGTCGTCTGCTCCGCTGCATGACGGCTTCCGCTTTTTAACCGAGGGCCTGTGTTTGGCTTCCGAATACTGCTGCATCCACCGCCACCCTGCCCATGTGTCTCCGTCGTCTGCTCACGCTGCTGACGGCTTCCGCTTTTGGCGGGGGGCCTAGGCCTGTGTATGGCTTCAGAATAATGCTGCCTACACCGCCACCCTGGCGCCATGTGCCTCTGTCGTCTGCTCACGCTGCTGCCAGGTCCATACTGATTCATGGCCCCCTGTATCCGGGCTCCTCCTATGAACGTGGTTCAGCGGGTTTGCATCACTTAATGGCAAATCGTTGACAAACGCTGAGACGTTCAGTGTTGTGCGCATTAAGCCAGACACCAAAGGACAGCACAGCCCTGTTATTACTCGCTCAAGCATCGGCTGAAACAAAACCAGTCTCTACCACAAATTGGACCCAGACCTGCCCAGGGTTCGTAAGTAGATTGCACGGAGGAGTATGAGTTCGTTAAATTGGAATTAACTGTGAGGGACTTTTTAAACCTAGGGGCCTGTTATGGCCTTCAATTGAAGCTGCTTCTGCTCCGCCACTCTGCCATTGGACTCTTGATAGTCGTCGACTTTGGGAGTGGACAGTCGTTACAATTCCTCCTCCTGCCGCACTAAACAAGCAATGGGCGGGCCGAAAGGCTCCGATGCCACGCTACTGGCCGGGCATGACAGCCTTTTCAAGGGGCAAATTCAGCTAGTTGGGGCCAAAGGTCAAGTTTCGTTGCCCAGTAGTCAAGGGGATTTAATTGGTCTACCTCGGGTTGGCAGGGTGCTGTCCCAATGTAGCCCATCAGCCTGTTGTTTGAGGTCCTGCTCCAGGTCCCACCTGATGCTGCTGCTGCTGCGGCTGTTAGTAATTTCCTCACTGTGCATGGTGAAGAAAGCTACTCATCATCGACTGCAGAACTGAGGCAGCCGCTGCTGGTGGAGCTGCCACTGCTCCTACCCACCCCACCCCCTCCCCTGCTGCCATGGCAACGGAACGCGATGCGCACAGGGCCCACAGTGGATGAGGATGGACGTTGGCGCAGAAAAGGCAGAGACCAACGATGACTACATAGGTGGTTTTTATAGTAAGTTATTTTGGCCTCTCCCTCTCAGCAGGTGTGAAAAAGGCCACCAGTTTTTGAACGGTAGCGAGGGTCCAACAAGGTGGACAGCCAAAAGTGAACCCTCTGTCTGATGGTTATTATTCGCTGTCGCTACGCAAGAACCGAGCATGCTATGGGCCATTTGTGCCGGCAAGGAATGCAAGGGACTCCCTGACTCCATCTCCACAGCATACTGCCCACGGTGTGTCTGGTCCTCTGTCTCCTCCTCCTCCTCCTCTACCAGATGCTCCCTGCTCCTCCACTCTGTTCCGCTGAGTGGAAAAACCACCCATTTCACTCAATAATTCCTGAGCACAGCAATGTCCTCCTCTATACCTCCTCCTCTTCTTCCTGTCCTGCCCCCACAGGGGTCATGTGGCGTTGAGATCTGTGCGGCCACGTCTACCGCAGGGTCCTGACCACCATTGTTAACAGCATTTGTTCCAGGACGTGCAAAGGCGGGTGGGAAGCGACGCCGCAAGGAATGACGTCATTCATGCGCCATAGTCCTGCCGACTCACGAATAGCTGTGGCCTCCTCAAAGGGGCCTGGCAAGCGGCAGGTGTCACGCATGAGCTGCCAATGGCTGACAATCTAATTTACACAGGGAGTACCTTTATCCGCTTGAGGCAAACATCAGGAATCGGTTGAAGCCTTGCCTTTCGCTGTTCGTAAAGGCGGTTAAAACATATGTAGGGTTGAATTCCCAGAGAACATTGCAACGTCACAGCATGAGGAGTCGGTACGGGGGCCCATGGCAGATTACGGGCCACGGCACATAGCAGACAATGGGAGGCCCGAATCTGCCATCACCCTATGACAAAATGGAACCCACCAGCAGTGAGGAGACCTGAAAGTGGCACATGGCGAGTGTGGCGATGGAGATAGCAGCAGCAATGGGAGGCCGTACAGGGACCCATGACACACTCGGGACCTGGCAGCAGCATGCAGAGGCGTACAGGGCCCATGGCAGATTACGGGCCTGGCAGCAGCAATGGGAGGCCCGTAATCTGCCAGCACCCTATGACAAAATGGAAACCAACAGCAGTGTGAGGACACCTGAAAGTGGCAAATGGCAGAGTGTGGCGATGGAGACAGCAGCAATGGGAGGCCGTACAGGGACCCATGAGACTCTGGACCTGGCAGCAGCATGAGGAGGCGGTACGGGGCCCATGGCAGATTACGGGCCTGGCAGCAGCAATGGGAGGCCCCCGTAATCTGCCAGCACCCTATGACAAAATGGAAACCAACAAGCAGTGTGTGAGGAGACCTGAAAGTGGCACATGGCAGAGTGTGGCGATGGAGACAGCAGCAATGGGAGGCCGTACAGGGACCCATGACACACTACGGGCCTGGCAGCAGCATGAGGAGGCGGTAACGGGGGCCCATGGCAGATTACGGGCCTGGGCAGCAGCAATGGAGGGCCCGTAATCTGCCAGCACCCTATGACAAAATGGAACCCAACAGCAGTGTGAGGAGACCTGAAAGTGGCACATGGCAGAGTGTGGCGATGGAGACAGCAGCAATGGGAGGCCGTACAGGGACCCATGACACACTCTGGACCTGGGCAGCAGCATGAGGAGGCGGTACAGGGGCCCATGGCAGATTACGGGCCTGGCAGCAGCAATGGGAGGCCCGTAATCTGCCAGCACCCTATGAAAAAATGGAACCCCCAGCAGTGTGAGGAGACCTGAAAGTGTGGCACATGGCAGAGTGTGGGCGATGGAGACAGCAGCAATGGGAGGCCGTACAGGACCCATGAGACACTCTGGACCTGGCAGCAGCAATGAGGAGGCGGTACGGGGGCCCATGGCAGATTACGGGCCTGGCAGCAGCAATGGGAGGCCCCGTAATCTGCCAGCCACCCCTATGACAAAATGGAACCCACCAGCAGTGTGAGGAGACCTGAAAGTGGCACATGGCAGAGTGTGGCGATGGAGACAGCAGCAATGGAGGCCGTACAGGGACCCATGAGACACTCTGGACCTGGCAGCAGCATGAGGAGGCGGTACAGGGGCCCATGGCAGTTTACGGGCCTGGCAGCAGCAATGGGGAGGCCCGTAATCTGCCAGCACCCTATGACAAAATGGAACCCACCAGCATGTGAGGAGACCTGAAAGTGGCACATGGCAGAGTGTGGCGATGGAGACAGCAGCAATGGGAGGCCGTACAGGGACCCATGAGACACTCTGGACCTGGCAGCAGCATGAGGAGGCGGTACGGGGGCCCATGGCAGATTACGGGCCTGGCAGCAGCAATGGGAGGCCCGTAATCTACCAGCACCCTATGACAAAATGGAACCCACCAGCAGTGTGAGGAGACCTGAAAGTGGCACATGGCAGAGTGTGGCGATGGAGACAGCAGCAATGGAGGCCGTACAGGGACCCATGACACACTACGGGCCTGGCAGCAGCATGAGGAGGCGGTACGGGGGCCCATGGCAGATTACGGGCCTGGCAGCAGCAATGGGAGGCCCGTAATCGGCCAGCACCCTATGACAAAAAATGAACCCACCAGCAGTGTGAGGAGACCTGAAAGTGGCACATGGCAGAGTGTGGCGATGGAGACAGCAGCAATGGGAGGCCGTACAGGGACCCATGAGACACTCTGGACCTGGCAGCAGCATGAGGAGGCGGTACGGGGCCCATGGCAGATTACGGGCCTGGCAGCAGCAATGGGAGGCCCGTAATCTGCCAGCACCCTATGACAAAATGGAACCAACAGCAGTGTGAGGAGACCTGAAAGTGGCACATGGCAGAGTGTGGCGATGGAGACAGCAGCAATGGGAGGCCGTACACAGGGACCCAGGACACTCTGGACCTGCCGTCAGCAGCCATGAGGGAGGGAGGCGACAGTAGACCCATGGTGCATTACGGGGGCGGTGGATGCAGCAGTAATTCGGAGGCCATAATCTGCCAGGCCTAGGTGTAAAAAAATGGAAGCCACCAGCAGTGTGAGGAGACCTGAAAGTGGCACATGGCAGAGTGTGGCGATGGAGCAGCAGTAATGGGAAGCCAAACACAGGCCTCCCCATTAAAACTATGGAAGCCGTGGACAGCAGCGTGGAGCAGAATTGGTGACAGAGGCCCATGGCGCAGGGTGGCAGTGGAGGCAGCAGCAATGGGAGGCCCGTACAGCACCCTATCACAAAATGGAACCCACCAACATGTAAGGAGACCTGAAAGTGGCACATGGCGCAGGGGTGGAGGTGGAGGCAGCAGTATTCGGAAGACATACACAGGACTAGGTTAAAAAGCAGAAGCCGTCAGCAGCGTGAGCAGACGACAAGGCACATGGCGCAGGGTGGCGGTGGATGCAGCAGTATTGGGAAGCCAAACACAGGCCTCGGTTAAAAAGCGGAAGCCGTCAGCAGCGTGAGGCAGACGACAGGCACATGGCGCAGGGGGCGGTGGAGGCAGCAGCAATGGGAGGCCATACTGCCAGCACCCTATGACAAAATGGAACCCACCAGCAGTGTGAGGAGACCTGAAAGTGGGCACATGGCAGAGTGTGGCGATGGAGACAGCAGCAATGGGAGGCCGTACAGGGACCCATGACACACTCTGGACCTGGCAGCAGCATGAGGAGGCGGTACAGGGGCCCATGACAGATTACGGGCCTGGCAGCAGCATGAGGAGTCGGTACAGGGGCCCATGGCAGATTACGGGCCTGGCAGCAGCATGAGGAGGCGGTACAGGGGCACCATGGCAGAGTGGCCTGAGCGTAAACGCAGCTAAAATTGAGGCCATACAGAGGCCTATGTTAAAAAAATGGAACCACCAGCAGCAGCGTGAGGAGACGACTAAATGTAGGTCACCCCATGGCCTCTGTCTCGATGGCAGCCCCAGCATACTGATTCAGGCCCCCTGTACCTGGGACCCATGAACGTGGTTCAGCGGGTTTGCAGCAGCTGTAACGGCAAATCGTTGACAAACGCCGAGACATGGCAGTGTTTGTGCGCATTAAGCCAGACAGCAATGGGAGGCACAGGGACCCATGTTATCTGCCAGCAGCACCCTAACAGTTGTCTGCGTTCTACATGGCCCAAAAGTGTGAGGAGATCCTAAAGTCAAATGGCACCCAGCCTGTTGGGTCTCGTAAGTAGATTGGGAGGCACATCTGGAGTCAGTTCTTGGATTGCGATTAAATGTGAGGGACTTTTAAGAAGTTATAGTAGGCCTGTGGTATGGCCTTCAATTGAAGGGGCCTGGAAAGAGTTCAGCTTTGCTCCGCCACTCTGGCCATTGGACAGATTTGACGGTGCCAGCAATGGCGACTTTTGTGGGACATTCGTTTTCAATACCTCTGCCAGCACTAAGTGCGAGCTCCCCATGCCACGCTACTGGACCGGGCATGACAGCCTTGGAAGGGCAAATGTCAGATAGTTGAAAGTGGGCCAAAGGCAAGTTTCGGGAGACCCAGCAGCAATGGGATTGCCGTACCTCGGGACCCAGACACCACTGCTGTCCAAGTAGGCACACCAAGCATGTTGGAGGCGGTCCCAGGGCCACATGATGCAGAGCTGCTGGGCTGGTTAGAATTTCCTCAGCAATGGGAGAAAGCCACTCCATCATCGACTGCAGACTGAGCACCCTATGCTGGAAGCCACCAGCAGTGTGACCACCCCACCCCTCCCCTGCTGCCATGGCAGGAACGTGTGGCGACAGGGACCCCACAGGTGTCTGGGAGGACGTTGGCACAGATTAGGCTGGACCTGGCAGAGGTGGAGATTAAGGAGGCGAAGTTGGCAGAGTTGGCCTGGAGACTCAGCAGGTGTGAAAAAGGCACCATTTTTGATACGGTAGCAGAGGAGGAACACAGGTGGCCCAGCCAAAAGGGGCATGGCTCTGTCTGATGGGATTATTATTCGGCAAGTCGCTACGCAAGGGAGACCGAGCAGCTATGGGCCATACAGGGACCCTAGGTTTGCAATTACGACTCCCTGAAAGCAATCTCCACAGCATAGCCACGGTGCGTCTGGGTCCTCTGGCTCCTCCTCCTGGCAGCTAGCAGTGTGCTCCTGCCGTAATAGGGACCCATGGACTCCTGGCCAGGCCACCCCTACAGGGCCCCCCATGACAAAATAATTCCTGGCTTATTGCAGGTACAGAGTCCTCAGCTGAGGAGGACCTGGTAAAGTGGCCCCATGGCAGATGTGGGCGTGGAGATCAGCAGCAATGGGAGGCACCCTGGACCATCCATGGAGACAGCATTTGTTCCAGGACAAAATGAGGAACCCACGTCAGCAGTGTGCGGAGGCCAGACTCCGACGAATAGCGTGGCCCTCCTCACAGGCAGAGCAAGCGGCAGGGAGGCAGCAATGGAGGCCAAGGCTGACATCTATGTTTACACAGGGGAGACCTTTATCACTGCTTTAAGCATCAGGAAATCGGTGATGGGGAGGGCCACTGTTCGTAATGGCGGCCTACATGTAGGGTTGAATTCTGGGACCTTGTTGCAACGTCACAGCATGAGGAGTCGGTTACGGGGGCCCATGGCAGATTACGGGCCTGGCAGCAGCAATGGGAGGCCCGTAATCTGCCAGCACCCTATGACAAAAATGGAACCCATCCAGCAGTGTGAGGAGACCTGAAAGTGGCACATGGCAGAGTGTGGCGATGGAGACAGCAGCATGGGAGGCCGTACAGGGACCCATGACAGACTACGGGCCCTGGCAGCAGCATGAGGAGGCGGTTACGGGGGCCCATGGCAGATTACGGGCCTGGCAGCAGCAATGGGAGGCCCGTAATCTGCCAGCACCTCTGACAAAATGGAACCACCAGCAGTGTGAGGAGACCTGAAAGTGGCACATGGCAGAGTGTGGCGATGGAGACAGCAGCAATGGGAGGCCGTACAGGGACCCATGAGACACTCTGGACCTGGCAGCAGCATGAGGAGGCGGTACGGGGGCCCATGGCAGATTACGGCCTGGCAGCAGCAATGGGAGGCCCGTAATCTGCCAGCACCCTATGACAAAAATGGAAACCACCAGCAGTGTGAGGAGACCTGAAAGTGGCACATGGCAGAGTGTGGCGATGGAGACAGCAGCAATGGGAGGCCGTACAGGGACCCATGACACACTCGGGACCTGGCAGCAGCATGAGGAGGCGGTACGGGGGCCCATGGCAGATTACGGGCCTGGCAGCAGCAATGGGAGGCCCGTAATCTGCCAGCACCCTATGACAAAATGGAACCCACCAGCAGTGTGAGGAGACCTGAAAGTGGCACATGGCAGAGTGTGGCGATGGAGACAGCAGCAATGGGAGGCCGTACAGGGACCCATGAGACACTCTGGACCTGGCAGCAGCATGAGGAGGCGGTACAGGGGCCCATGGCAGATTACGGGCCTGGCGGTAGCAGCAATGGGGAGGCCCGTAATCTGCCAGCACCCTATGACAAAATGGAACCCACACCAGCAGTGTGAGGAGACCTGAAAGTGGCACATGGCAGAGTGTGGCGATGGAGACAGCAGCAATGGGAGGCCCGTACAGGGACCCATGAGACACTCTGGACCTGGCAGCAGCATGAGGAGGCGGTACGGGGGCCCATGGCAGATTACGGGCCTGGCAGCAGCAATGGGAGGCCCGTAATCTGCCAGCACCCTATGACAAAATGGAACCCACCAGCAGTGTGAGGAGACCTGAAAGTGGCACATGGCAGAGTGTGGCGATGGAGACAGCAGCAATGGGAGGCCGTACAGGGACCCATGAGACACTCTGGACCTGGCAGCAGCATGAGGAGGCGGTACAGGGGCCCATGGGCAGATTACGGGCCTGGCAGCAGCAATGGGGAGGCCCGTAATCTGCCAGCACCCTATGACAAAAATGGAACCCACCAGCAGTGTGAGGAGACCTGAAAGTGGCACATGGCAGAGTGTGGCGATGGAGACAGCAGCAATGGGAGGCCGTACAGGGACCCATGAGACACTCTGGACCTGGCAGCAGCATGAGGAGGCGGTACGGGGCCCATGGCAGATTACGGGCCTGGCAGCAGCAATGGGAGGCCCGTAATCTGCCAGCACCCTATGACAAAATGGAACCCACCAGCAGTGTGAGGAGACCTGAAAGTGGCACATGGCAGAGTGTGGCGATGGAGACAGCAGCAATGGGAGGCCGTACAGGGACCCATGACACACTACGGACCTGGCAGCAGCATGAGGAGGCGGTACGGGGGCCCATGGCAGATTACGGGCCTGGCAGCAGCAATGGGAGGCCCGTAATCTGCCAGCACCCTATGACAAAATGGAACCCACCAGCAGTGTGAGGAGACCTGAAAGTGGCACATGGCAGAGTGTGGCGATGGAGACAGCAGCAATGGGAGGCCGTACAGGGACCCATGACACACTCTGGACCTGGCAGCAGCATGAGGAGGCGGTACAGGGGCCCCATGGCAGATTACGGGCCTGGCAGCAGCAATGGGAGGCCCGTAATCTGCCAGCACCCTATGACAAAATGGAACCCACCAGCAGTGTGAGGAGACCTGAAAGTGGCACATGGCAGAGTGTGGCGATGGAGACAGCAGCAATGGGAGGCCGTACAGGGACCCATGAGACACTCTGGACCTGGCAGCAGCAGCATGAGGAGGCGGTACGGGGCCCATGGCAGATTACGGGCCTGGCAGCAGCAATGGGAGGCCCGTAATCTGCCAGCACCCTATGACAAAATGGAACCCACCAGCAGTGTGAGGAGACCTGAAAGTGGCACATGGCAGAGTGTGGCGATGGAGACAGCAGCAATGGGAGGCCGTACAGGGACCCATGAGACACTCTGGACCTGGCAGCAGCATGAGGAGGCGGGCGGTACGGGGCCCATGACAGATTACGGGCCTGGCAGCAGCAATGGGAGGCCCGTAATCTGCCAGCACCCTATGAAAAAATGGAACCCACCAGCAGTGTGAGGAGACCTGAAAGTGGCACATGGCAGAGTGTGGCGATGGAGACAGCAGCAATGGGAGGCCGTACAGGGACCCATGACACACTCTGGACCTGGCAGCAGCATGAGGAGGCGGTACGGGGGCCCATGGCAGATTACGGGCCTGGCAGCAGCAATGGGAGGCCCGTAATCTGCCAGCACCCTATGACAAAATGGAACCCACCAGCAGTGTGAGGAGACCTGAAAGTGGCACATGGCAGAGTGTGGCGATGGAGACATGGGCCCCAATGGCCACGCTTGACTTTCAGGGCCACATAGTCGACATACGGCTACGTTTACTTCCTCGGGCGGCTTGACGAAAAATTGCCACACCGCCCATGAGTAGGAAACTTTGCCCCAGCTACTCCTCACTGGCTGACTGCTACTTTCCTCCGTGCACACCGGGACACCACTACGTGGCCGTGGTGGTAGGCTGCAGTGGAGTGGTGCTCTACTCCGTGGGACCATGACCGTTTGCCTCCTCACTGACACTGCTGCGACCCTGCTGCCTCCTGGGCAACCCACCGACTGTTTTGCTCGCTGCCAAGCTGGCAGCCCTCTTCTCCTGATGATGCGGAAGCAATAGCCTGATGACGACGAGGCTGCCAAGTGCGTATCAGCCTCATCATCATCAATTAGGGTCTCCGCCTCACTACTAGTGCCCCCTCGGCTGCGTGTGGGTCAGGAGACAGACCTGTCTCTAGACCGGCTACCGAGCCACACTCTCCTCGCCAGTACTTCTTCGCCTGGCTGCTGAAGAGGCGGATGTCTCCCCCCGTTCCTGACCGCCCTCTGTTAGCTCTTCCTCACTGTACAGTGGGGCTGAGCCCACAGCATGCGATACTTCGCTTGGTGAGGGAACACCAAAGGACAGGGGCAGGTAGAGGACACGTGATTTCAGTGGGCTTGCTCCCGGGCCATGCCAACTAACGGTTGTGTCTGACGTACCCACCGACCGTTGGCTGTAGGTGTCAGAGGTGACCTGGGAAGAGGAAGACGTGTCCGAGCCAACCAATCGATGACGGCAGGGTTGTCGGTGGAGACACGACCGCTGGATGACACCGGGAGCACTGGCCTCTGGCTGCGACTAGTGCTGCATCGACCCTTCCTCTGCTGCCACGTCTGCTCGCTCCTGAAAACATTGCCTCCTCTGCCACTCCTCTGCGTGTTGTCTGACATACTCTTTAATTCAACGATTCTGTGTCCCTGAGTAACAATTCTGTGTCCCCTGAGTAACAAAGTTCTGTGTCTGTCCCTGAGTAACAATTCTGTGTCCCTCAGTAACAATTCCCTGTGTCCCTGAGTAACAATTCTGTGTCCCTGAGTAACAATTCTGTGTCCCTCAGTAACAATTCTGTGTCCCTGAGTAACAATTCTGTGTCCCTGAGTAACAATTCTGTGTCCCTCAGTAACAATTCTGTGTCTGTCCTGAGTAACAATTCTGTGTCCCTCAGTAACAATTCTGTTGTCCCCTGTCCCTGAGTAACAATTCTGTGTCCCTGAGTAACACATTCTGTGTCCCTGAGTAACAATTCTGTGTCCACTGTACACAATTCTGTGTCCTCCTGAGTAACAATTCTGTGTCCCTGAGTAACAATTCTGTGTCCCTGAGTAACAATTCTGTGTCCCTCAGTAACAATTCTGTGTCCCTCAGTAACAATTCTGTGTCCCTGTAACAATTCTGTGTCTGTCCTCAGTAACAATTCTGTGTCCTCAGTAACAATTCTGTGTCCCTCAGTAACAATTCTGTGTCCCTCAGTAACAATTCTGTGTCCCTCAGTAACAATTCTGTGTCTGTCCTGAGTAACAATTCTGTGTCCTGAGTAACAATTCTGTGTCCCTGAGTAACAATTCTGTGTCCCTGAGTAACAATTCTGTGTCCCTGAGTAACAATTCTGTGTCCGGGGTCAGTAGTAACAATTCTGTGTCCCTGAGTAACAATTAACAATTCCTGTAACAATTCTGTCCCTGAGTAACAATTCTGTGTCCCTGAACAATCTGTCCCTGGTTAGTAACTGTTCACTCAGTTTGTCCCTGAGTAACAATTCTGTGTCCCTGAGTAACAATTCTGTGTCCCTGAGTAACAATTCTGTGTCCCTGAGTACAATTCTGTGTCTGTCCTGAGTAACTATTCTGAGTGGTCTGTCCCTGAGTAACAATTCTGTGTCCCTGAGTAAACAATTCTGAGTCTGTGTATGTCCCTGAGTAACAATGGCGATTCTGTGTCCCCTCAGTAACAATTCTGTGTCCCTGAGTAACAATTCTGTGTCCCTGAGTAACAATTCTGTGTCCCATGAGTAACAATTCTGTGTCCCTGAGTAACAATTCTGTGTCCCTCCTAACAATTCTGTGTCCCTCAGTAACAATTCTGTGTCCCTGAGTAACAATTCTGTGTCCCTGAGTAACAATTCTGTGTCCCTCAGTAACAATTCTGTGTCCCTGTGTAACAATTCTGTGTCCCTCAGTAACAATTCTGTGTCCTGAGTAACAATTCTGTGTCCCTGAGTAACAATCTGTGTCCCTCAGTAACAATTCTGTGTCCCTGAGTAACAATTTGTGTCCCTGAGTAACAATTCTGTGTCCCTGAGTAACAATTCTGTGTCCCTGAGTAACAATTCTGTGTCCCTGAGTAACAATTCTGTGTCCCTGAGTAACAATTCTGTGTCCCTCAGTAACAATTCTGTCTGTCCTGAGTAACAATTCTGTGTCCCTGGTAACAATTCTGTGTCCCTGAGTAACAATTCTGTGTGTCCCTGAGTAACAATTCTGTGTCCCTGAGTAACAATTCTGTGTCCTGTCCCTGAGTAACAATTCTGTGTCCCTGAGTAACAATTCTGTGTCCCTCAGTTCTGTAATTCTGTGTCCCTGAGTAACAATTCTGTGTCCCTGAGTAACAATTCTGTGTGTCCCTCTGTCCCATTCTGTGTCCCTCAGTAACAATTCTGTGTTCCTGAGTAACAATTCTGTGTCCCTCAGTAACAATTCTTTCCCTGAGTAACAATTCTGTGTCCCCCTGAGTAACAATTCTGTGTCCTACCAGTAACAATTCTGTGTCTGTCCCTGAGTAACACCACCCACCCCTGAGTAACACCCCTGTGTCCCTGAGTAACAATTCTGTGTCCCTCAGTAACAATTCTGTGTCCCCCACAGTAACAATTCACAATTCTGTGTCCCTGAGTAACAATTCTGTGTGTCCCTGAGTAACAATTCTGTGTCCCTGAGTAACAATTCTGTGTCCCTGAGTAACAATTCTGTGTCCCTGAGTAACAATTCTGTGTCCCTGAGTAACAATTCTGTGTCCTGAGTAAACAATTCTGTGTCCCTGAGTAACAATTTCTGTGTCCCTCAGTAACAATTCTCTGTGTCCCTGAGTAACAATTCTGTGTCCCTAGTAACAATTCTGTCCCTGAGTCCCTCTGTGTCCTCAGTAACAATTCTGTGTCCCTGAGTAACAATTCTGTGTCCCTGGTGTCCCTGAGTAACAATTCTGTGTCCCTGAGTAACAATTCTGTCTGTCCCTGAGTAACAATTCTGTGTCCCTCAGTAACAATTCTGTGTCCCTGAGTAACAATTCTGTGTCCCTGAGTAACAATTCTGTGTCCCCGAGTAACAATTCTGTGTCCCTCAGTAACAATTCTGTGTCCCTCAGTAACAATTCTGTGTCCCTCAGTAACAATTCTGTGTCTGTTCCTGAGTAACAATTCTGTGTCCCTGAGTAACAATTTCTGTGTCCCTGAGTAACAATTCTGTGTCCCTGAGTAACAATTCTGTGTCCCTCAGTAACAATTCTGTGTCTGTCCCTGAGTAACAATTCTGTCTCCCTGAGTAACAGTTCTGTGTCCCTGAGTAACAATTCTGTGTCCCTGAGTAACAATTCTCTGTCCCTGAGTAACAATTCTGTGTCCCTCAGTAACAATTCTGTGTCCCTCAGTAACAATTCTGTGTCCCTCAGTAACAATTCTGTGTCTGTCCCTGAGTAACAATTCTGTGTCCCTGAGTAACAGTTCTGTGTCCCTGAGTAACAATTCTGTGTCCCTGAGTAACAATTCTGTGTCCCTTGAGTAACAATTCTGTGTCCCTCAGTAACAATTCTGTGTCCCTCAGTAACAATTCTGTGTCCCTCAGTAACAATTCTGTGTCTGTCCCTGAGTAACAATTCTGTGTCCCTCAGTAACAATTCTGTGTCCCTCAGTAACAATTCTGTGTCTGTCCCTGAGTAACAATTCTGTGTCCCTGAGTAACAGTTCTGTGTCCCTGAGTAACAATTCTGTGTCCCTGAGTAACAATTCTGTGTCCCTGAGTAACAATTCTGTGTCCCTGAGTAACAATTCTGTGTCCCTCAGTAACAATTCTGTGTCCCTCAGTAACAATTCTGTGTCCCTCAGTAACAATTCTGTGTCCCCCTGAGTAACAATTCTGTGTCCCTGAGTAACAATTCTGTGTCCCTGAGTAACAG